AATATCCACGTCATAACCATATCTCACCTGGATAGACATGACCAAACACCACCTGACATAATTGCAATAACTTTAACATTTGATGTAGTGCCTTATTACATCATTAAAACTTCTCAAAGGGCTTCACAGAGTTTTCTGTAAAGTATAGTGATTTCGTAGGTGAACACAGCAGCCAATCTGTGCAAAGCAATGTCCCACAGACAGCCATGAAATTAAAACCCAATTTTATTTGGGGGATTGTTGGCCAGGACACCAGGAGAAACTCCTTTCTCTTTTCAGATAGTGACACGGCATCTTTAACATCAATCTGAAGAGTCAGATGGGACCTCAGTTTAATGTTTTATCTGAAGGGCTGAGCCAGACAGTTGATATTAAATAGATGTGTAACTCCATTAATAGTCATTAAATTCCCCTTCAGTTACAGTATGCTTGAAGACTTATTTGAAGATTTGCTGCTTTGGGTCATCTTTTCCGTGCTCACTCACCCTCCCCCCGGGCCTATGAAGCTCTTTCAGACATCCTCCTAATATGAAAGGTGCTATATAACCATAAATTGTATTGCATAGAACAAAAGGAAATGCCATTTCAAATCATTTTGGCAGGCTGCATGACTGTCATACAAGGCTGAATGTGCCATTATTCCAGAGAATAGGCAATCACATTTCCATAATACCTTGTTACAAATCCCAGGGTGAAGTTTGTAGTCAATGTGATTTTTTTTATCAAAGAGAACCGGCTGGGAGTATTGAGTCATTCACCCTTGTCCTCCCGATGTAGTTCTATAAAACCGGTAACCCTCTAAGCATCATTCAAAAGCTGGTCCAACACTATGGATCCACCTACTCCAAGTTTTGTAAATGATGACGCTGGGAGGGGGTGTGGGAGTGGGGGCAGCAACGTCCACACGTGGTCCATTGTATGTGAGAACTATCAGGTGGACCACAAATTTGACCCTAAAATGGGATTAATCTGATGGAACAAAACAGTCTTGAGGATGACGATATTTTGGTACAAGTGATCTTCTTCATAAAAGAAGAATTAGACAGCTAGCTATATTAACAAATATTTTGAGAGATAATTTTAGTGAAGGTAAAGGATACTTTCAGCAAAGCAGCATCACTGTATTACTCTTCAATATGGTCCTGCACATCATTCCGTCTGAACCACCTCATACTACCAGCTGAGCTAAAAGGTTTTATAAGAAGAAAAGACCTTGCGTCGGGATTCATGTAAAACATCCCGCATGTGTAAAAGATTACTGAAATCAGATCCACTTGTAAATTGCAGTATGGCTGGTAGCCAAACTCAATATTACAGCAGCTCCTCGAGCTATACTATCAGACTGCTGATCCTGCCCCAGAGCTATGGACTGTAATGTGAGGTAAACATTTAGCAATCCATAATCGCCCTACAATGATAATATTATTTTAAAACTCAAGTATAAGGGAACCCCTGACTTCCGAGATATCAAGTTCCTGTTAATATCACTTCCTTCATGTTTCCCACATGCGTGCTTTAAACAGGAAGTGTCACTGATGTCACTTTCTGTACACTGCACATTTGCAAAATATTTCACATTATTTTGCAATCCGGTCTCGAATCAATTTAGTGTCGACTTTCAGCTCATTTTCACTGAACACAAAACTGGTGCTCAAGGTACAATAAAATACTCTTTTTGCACCCATTTGCCAATCATGCCCATTTTGCCTCATGTTTGTGAGTGAATGGTGGACATATTGGGTTGCAATATTTCTGTAAAATATACTATAGTTTGGTTACAAACCATAGCTTCTTGGGGTGGGGAGGGGAAAGCCTCCATAACTAACCTGGCACCAAGTTAACATACTTGGCAATCGATATCGGAGTTAAGTCTACCCTCTGCAGCTGTTGGCAGTCCTCTTCCTGAGCCAGGCAGGTCTGCCGTACTCCAGGGCACTGCTGATCATAGACAAACCAGCCTCACTCATTGTGGGGATTTGGAGGCATAGGTCAATCACTCAGAGCAGTGATTCTTCTCACTCAATTCCTGGTCGCCCTGCAAGCCAAAGCCCTAACAGGTAGACTGGGTCTATAAAACCGGCAGCCAATTTCACGCAGCACTGTCCCACAAACAGTCATGGATTGAGTCACCAAATTATTTTTTTTTAAAAAGGATTATTATCCCCGGAAAAGCAATCTGCCAATCGACTAACAACCAGGTTCCTACTTACTGCTAGGTAAACAGAGGTGTGTGGAGTAAGGCAACTTGCCCAACATTTCGCCCTGCCAGGAATCAAACCCAGGTTTCTTGTTTGTGAGGCGACTGCTCTAACCCCTGAGCTACAGGACTCATCTGGACAAGCAGAATGGCAGACTATGCATTTTAGTTAGTTAAACTTCAGCAGTTCCCCAACACGCACTCTGGAGTCCTCAATTCTTGGCTCTTGCCAATCTGCCCCAAATATTCTCCAAAATTAGGTAAGCAGTGTGTGTCCCTCCAGGGAGAGAGTGCACATTCTATTCCAGACACAGGGAGATTTCCATGTGAAGGTGGCATACATATGTGGAACTATCAGTCTGGTTTGGATACTCTGAAGCAAGGTAATGGGTTTCTGCATATATCAGACACCTGGCTGACAAAAACAAACAGCCCTTGGGGTTTGGGAGTAGATATATCTGTAGCCTAAGAAACACAAGGTAACACAATTCAGTGTGTAACAATGCAGTAAAATGTCTGCAATTTAAATGTCACCTCAAACTCAGAAAGCTGCCTCATCCTCAGCTATTCTGTATAATTATACAAAACTAATATCACTTAGCATTCCTGATTTTTTTCCACTTTCATTTTTGTTGGTGAAATTGTATGGTGAACAGTGATGAGTAGTCAGCTCCCACAATCAACTCATCAGTACAGCTGGTTAACAGCTAACTGTATTTTAACTAAGCGCTTTGATCATGGGAAGACAGTAGTTTGGGGTACTGTGGAAAGGTGAGATCAAATGGCTGAAGGACATTCTTCATCTGAACCTCTCTCGTGATCTTGGGAAAAGCATTTATATTGGGTTTGATTTACTTCATAACATGTTACTGTGGAACATAGTAACTCAGTGATAGTTTAATGCAGGATTTGACCATTGGTCCGTCTAGCTTTGCATCAGACTCCCTAAAACATTCCTTCAACACATTTATGTGATCACCTAATAATCCCAAAACTTTTTTTTTAATATCCAGGAACTTGTCTAGTTTCTTTTCGAAACTCTTTATACTTCCTTCTTCCACCACCTGTGCTGGTAATTAGTTCCATATGTCCTCACTCTTTACCAAAAGAATGTTCCATGTTGTGTTTATTATAGACTTAATCGGCAGCCTCTCCAATTAATCTTTAAAGTACTCAATTTTTATCCCAACACAACCTCCCCAATTTCCCTCTCATTGCCTTAAAGTCAACTCTCATGAAAATTGGCGGATTAATGACATTGCAATCACTTCCTGCTCTTCTACTTTTGTGTCTAATGGATAAATTAAATAGTTACATAATCCATTTCTGTCTGTGCATCACAGATTAGCTGAAAAGCTGCAGATGTAGCATAATGACTAAACAAGCATTTGTGCATCTGTTGTGGGATTTTAGCACACCAGGAAGCAGTTAGGCACAAGTTGATGTGAGCACTAAAACGGATGGTGTACCAACACTCTAATTAATGGCTATGTGTTGAGGGTGTTCCCAAAATCAGACAATGTACACATGTGGCCATTGTTTATTTGAAAGAAACATTCTGCCCACACTAAACTCCGTACCTCCTTTACCCCAGTCCTTGTCAAACTCCATTTGATCCCTGTCACAAGAGCGGATTGATTTCAAGACCCTCACTCTTGTATTTAAATCCCTTCACGCCCTCTCTCTCCCTAAACTACCTCTGCTCGACTGGCTCCAGCCTCCTCCTTGTCCCCTGGATCCTCCGCTCCACCATCGGCTACCTTGCTTTCAGCCACTCCCCCCCCAAAGCTGTGGAACTTTCCCTCAATCCCTTCACCTCTTCCATTCTCTGCCCATTTTCAGGTCGCACTTGAAGACCTTCCTCTTTGACTGTGCCCATGGTCCCTTTCCCCTCCTACTAGTGCAGCATCGGGCTCCGCTACTGTTAAGCGCTCCGAGACCCCATCCAGTGTGAAGGGCGCTATATAAATGCAAATTGTTGTTGTTGTAAGGTTCTTCACAGTGATTCTCCTGACTTCCCAGCGGTGGTGGTGGTGCATGCAGAGGCAAAGGGTCTGTGTAATGCTGTGATTTACCTATAGAGTTTGAGTCTGTAATATTGCTACATTCATGGGGATATCCTTAGAGTCTGGGAAATACCCCCTGTAGGTGGTTGTGCCTGGGGACTATTTAAAATGCTGTACATGCTCTGATTGGAATCAAGGTAAAACAACAACAAATTTACATTTATATTGCACCTTTCACAATGCGTAGGTCATCCCAAAGTACTGGAAAGTCCAGGGTTCACACCCAAACCGGGAGTGGGAACCAAGGGACTAAAAAAACGTCCCAGTCCCCAAAACATCCATGAGAATCGATTCATGAATCTATTCAATGCCTTTGGCTCCCGTGTCAATCCAGTTGATTCCAAACTTACATTTGAAGTAGTTTAAGAGTTCTTGGAGAAGTTACAGCTAATCAGCCACACCATTAAAATTAAGCGGTGTTTGATGCTGGTTGGCATGTTCATGTGCATGCAGAATTCAGCTTCAGTTCTTCCTGCTCCTAGTTCTCTCTCTGCACAAGTGTAGCGCTTCCCTCAGCTCTGGATGAAAACAATTCGGATCTGGCAAGTATAAATCTAGCTTCCCGCTCGCACGTCACATCGCTTCAGGTAGCATCAAAGAAGCTGAATTATTTCCACCATGGTTGCAAATAAGACTCCAACAAAAATATCCAATCCACTTACATCAAAACCACATTTATCATTAGCATGCAACACAGCCAAGTTATCCATGTGCTGGGAATCAGCTGGCATACTTACCCTGACAAAATGTGGCATTAACCCTCTTGTAGCCCAGGGGACACTCCACCATCTGTCCATTGCCTATTACTGGGATAGCTGAAATTGAAATAAAATAACAATTAACAAATGTCACATAACTGCTCCCTTTCACTGCTGCTGAAAACATGGGTAGAAAGTCCCAGGTGCTCTGCAGATACAGGTATCATCAAAAACAATCACTTTGCTGCTACATAGTAGTATAAATCCATATTGAGTCTTGTATTTTACTACAACAACAACAACTTGCATTTATATAGCGCCCTTCACGGAGAGTAGTTTCCCAGAGTGCTTGATAGTGGCGGAGCACGACTCAGCCTCATGCTAATGAATTTTCCGAATAATGAATGCTCTGACTCACGCTAACGCATTTTAGCCTAAACATTGTACAAAAGTTTTACTGATCTACCTGTATTGGTAGTTTCTCACAAACTAAAACAAAGACATTTTGCTAATGGATTAATTCCTACATTTTGCTAATGGATTGATTGAGTATTAACTCGATAAAAAATATATGCAACAACTGTTTCCTTCACCACTCTTTCAGCACTCTCTTCCCCTGAACACACACACCCGTGCGAGTGTACACGCACACACACAGACAAAAATGGGTTAAATTGAGACGCCTTCTATAGAGATGTTACTTTATATATTTTCTCAGTGGAGACACGCCTTAAAACATGTGTATTACCAAGGAGATTGTAGTACATCAGTAACTAATGCATGGTTACCACATGAAACAGTGTGAGGCAGTAATAAACATGGCAAACAGGATGCTGGGCTACATTGCCAAATCAGTTGAGGTCAGTTCCCCAGATGCAATGCTCAAGCTGTGTAGGACTCTGGTCAACTCATGTCTAGAGTACTGCATACAGTTCTGTAAAATAAGGAGCTGCTGCAATTCTAATTACTGTAAAATAAGGAGCCCCAGAGGAGAGTCAAGAGGATTATTTGCTAGAGTCAGAAGAATGAGCTGTAAGGAGCAGGTAAAGAAGATAGCATTCTTCAGCCTTGAAAAGAGAAATCACAGTCGGAATCTTATAGAGGCAAAAACAATGCTATATGGAACAGAGAAATTGAACCCAGAACGATACCTTCAAATATGCCAAGACAGCAGCAAAAGAGTACACAGATTCAAGGTTATATACTGCACTTTCATGACCAAGAACTATTTCTTTAAACAAAGATGATTAACAGCTGCAACAGGTTACTGGGAAAGGTGATTAAAGGCAAAAGCCTGCACTCATTGAACAAACAGCTTGACACTGTAATGGGAAGACGGTAGGGTGGGTATTCTGGAAGAATAATATCATATGGGCTAAAGGGCCTTCTTCACCCAAACGTCTCTTGTGATCTTGTAGCAGTCAACATTACTCAGATTAGTTTACGAGATCAAAGATGGTACAGTGCACATTCCTGCTCTGCCGCTATTCCCTTGCAATTGGTTTTGTCAGGTCTACAACTGGCTATAATGAACCTTCCAGCAAGCTTTACATTAGAGAAGGTGACTGAATTGGCTGCTCCACCTGACTTAAATCAGCATGCTTGCCAGTAATACAAAACATACGATCATGCTGCAAGAGTCATTACAGCCATTATGTTACAGTGAAGAGGCTACTGAAGGTTAACAAAATGAAGCCTGTACAATTTGTACAATTGTACACGATAATGAAATTGCTGTGAGTGATTACAAAACACTGATCTAAACCAGGATTCAGGATCTCTGTGAAGCGCTTTGCTTTGAGGTGTCTCGAAGACATGATAAGGCGCTATATCAAATACAAGTATTATTATCATTATCTCAATAAGTATTAGAGTGGATGATTGAGCAGCTTGGAACAATACTCAGATTAGATGGCAGGTTTGAAATCATTCCATATAATGTTCGATATGATTAATAGAATTGTTTACAAAATCTACATTGATCTCTGAAGTTTACAGGATTTTTTATTTGTACATGTTCAACAAGGTGAGGAATGTCAGCATCTGGGAATAGAATACTTGCTCTCTCTTTGCATCAAGTGTCAGCAATAGATCCCTGCTGCAGTACAAGAACAAGTTCATTTATATAGCACTCTTCATGTAGAATTATGTTGTGGAATGCTTAACAGTGGCAGTGCTTGATGCCAGGGAATGTGGCCGTAGGTACGGTCGAAAAGGAAGGTGTTCTGGTGTGAACTGAAGATGGGCAAGGAGGAGGCAAGGTGAAGGGATTGAGAAAGAGAGTTCCATAGTTTGAGGAAGAGAGTTCCATAGTTTCGGGGCTGAAAGCACGGCCCCCGATGGTGAAGCGGAGGGGACAATAGACGTGCAGTAGGTTAGAGCCAGCTGAGAGTGGATAGTGGGTAGTGGAGTGGGGTGTAAGCAGATCAGAGAGGTAGGGAGCTGAAAAAGGAATGAAGTAATGGGAGTACACAAGTGTGAAGATCTTGAAATTGATCTGTTCTGCAATAGGGAGCCAGTGGACCCTGGCAAAGCTTGGGGTGATTGGGGTACATAGTTTTGTGTGGATGAGAATACAGGCGATGGAGTTTTAATTAATTGAATTTTATGAATGGTGGAGCTGAGGAGACTGGTGAGGAAGACATCAGATAATCAAGGCAGGAGGTGACAAATGCATGGATAAGGGTTTCAGCTGCTTTGGGTGTGAGGTATGGTCAGAGACAGGCTATGTGACAGAGGTTGACAAAAGTGGTCTTGGTCTAGGACCAGGCTCAGTAGGTCTGAGGGATAGGCCGGGGAGATTAAGGAATTGGAGCTGCAGGTTAGAAGTCGTTGATGGGAGCGAAGAAGTATGGCTTCCATCTTGTCAACGTTCTGCAGAAAGTTGCCACTTATCCACGCTTTGATGTCTGATAAACAAGAGGACAGAACATCAGTGGGCCTGGGGTCACAGCTAGAGGAGGAGAAGTAGATTTGGGTGTCATTCGTATACACGTGGAAAACATCCCATGTCTCTGAAAGGGAGCGTGTAAATGAGGAAAAGGGATCTAGAATGAAGCCTTGGGGAAAGCCATAGGTGACCAAGTGAGGGCAGGAGGTCAAACCAATGTCCACCTGAGCAGCTAGACAGGACCTCAGGTTAATCAGAAGGACATTAAGAACCAGAAACCAAAAAAACAGTTGCAGGTTAAAGGTCCCATTGCTCTATCTCAATAAAGCACCTCAGCCTCAATCTCAGAAAACACCCTATTACTCATATGGCAAGGTGCTCCCTGTGTTTTTCTCCGAAGTAGGAGAAACAATTAGTCAAAATGCCTTCAGAAGAAGAGATGAAGTGATGAGCAAAAAGAGGGCATTTGCCACTATAACATAACATTTCTGATTCTGACATGAGCCAATTGTCAGGGATGAATGCATCCTCTGTAGCAAATCTTGGTGATAATTGGGCTCCGAGTAAGACTGAATTGAGTGAAAGCTGTGGGCAGTTTTGACCTACATGTCTGCCCTGGGGACTTGGGAACACCAATTTCAGGATAGGGCCCTCACATCTACAACTTGCACTTGCATTGCGCCTTCCATGCAGGGCAGCATCTCAGAGACAAGACACTTATTTCAACTTTATCAAGTTGAAGTTAACAACTAATTAAGTATAAAAACACTTTTAAGCCTGTCCAAAGTTTTATCTATTTGACTACGCTTTTGGTCATCTTTGCTCTCCTCACACTTTTCAGCTCCCAGCATCCAGCTCCAGGACTCTGGCACCAGTTTGAACTGCTTTCACACACCTTCCCTAAGGTGAAAGGTGCTCTATAAATGTAAACTGTATTGTTTCGTAACTTTCTGGGTTGCTCTGGAATCTGTGTTTGCATACCTGAGTGTTTGGCTATGCACATGTGTCTGGATATGCGTGTTTGTGGCATGTGGGTTTGTCTGCACACGTCTATGTCTGTTTATGTGTGTATCTCTGTGTTGAATGTCTGTGTACGTGCATGCTTGAGTATTTATGTACTAGTGCATATGTCTGTGCATGTGTGCACATCCATAAATGTCTGTGTGTGCATGTTGCATCTGTGTATTGTGTTGTGTGTGTTCTGTGTTTGTATATGCGTGTGTTTCTCTCTTATTGTTCATTCTTGTGCTAGGAGCAGTTGCTATAAGCACTGGGCATGAACTGCTAACTGAATCCATGACAAAGCTTCAGTCTTATAAGGTCTAATGTGCCAACATAGCTGCACGTTAAAGAATAATCCGCAGCTTATTATGAGGAATTCCCTCAACCCTATATTGATGGAGTTGTTGCACATTCTTCTCACTGTGATGCTCAGTCTGGAGTTGTTGTCCACAGGGGAGCACAGTGAAGCCCACCCACCTTGATGTCTCCCATTTTCACAAATGTCTGTTCTTCAACAGGGCAAAGAGTTTAAAAGTAATGGTGGAAGATCTCCCATTGGATATTTTTGCTAACAAATCTTCAGAAGCAAACTCATGTCAACACTAAAATAATTAGACCATCAACAAGAATAATTTCACAAGCAGTTTACGAAGAAAACAGAATTAATGACCCATATTAAGCGGGTTGTGATTTCTTTTTTTAAAAAAAATAAATCCTATTCGGCAACCTCTGCATAATTTCATTGTAAAGTGGTTGAAATTAACAATGGCCTCTTTGTTCAGTATTCTTCTGAGCGCTAAGTAGACAAAGGTGAAGGGGATTAAACTGTACTTTGTGAACCGGCAGATATGGCCAGCTTTTTAAAGGCAAACCCAATTATGTTGTCATGGGAACCCCTCCAACACAAGAAGGCTTGCTCCAGTCTGGATCATTTTGTCACTGAGCTGCTGACCATAAGCAGAAACACTGGCATTGACTTTGAGAGAGCGTAACTCATTCACAAGGTAAATGAATCTTCGCAATTTTTAAATGGATTTCACAATTCATCAATATTACAGGAAAAACATCTCTTGTTACAGTCAGGACTTCCATACCACCAACCAAGCATGAGTAGAAAGCCAGTGGGAATGCCTAGGCAATGCCTAACTCCTGTCACAGTGACCAAGATTGGAAATTCTACTCTACTGGCGGCAGGTTGTGCTGCTCACAGTGCAGTCAACAAGAA